ATCCATTGCAACATTCTGGTGAGTAGAGCGAAGAAATTGTGTATTCATTGTGCGTTGTTGACGATTTGTTTTAGCTTCGAACTGGCCATTTTATTTTAAACTAACATTTAGTGGCACGCCAATTTCTGATTCTGATGCATTACTTGGAGAAGAATTAGATATTAGTTTAGCCACTATTACAATTGAACGAAAAATTTCTTCTCCATCACTTCGAACTGATGTACCACTTGAATTGTCACCATCATCTTCTGTTGAGCGCCCGCATCGATCAAACAGTCTTGATGGATCGTTGCACGATTGATTTGGTCTACATTAATTTATTTATGTTAATTCAAGCTTAGCATGAAACTGTTTTCATACGTATGATTTGTTTTTCAAAAATTTGGACAACGTATAAGATACATTCAACAAGAACTATCTGTGTTTCTTAGTTCTTTTAGTTCGGATTTTTATGCTCTTATTAAGTACAACCTATGACTGACTATAGATCTAAGTCTATAGACGGATAATAAATCTTTATGTTTCTGATTGTCTTTTTTTTCTGCTGCGTTTCATGAAATGTTCGTTAGTGGATATTAATTAGTAATCAACGTTTATTGTATGAAGTAAAGATAAATATTGAGACACAACATTTTATATTTTAACTACAGTCACTAAAATTGTTCTATAATATCCGATCAAATGGAAACCTATTTTATTGCTGCTACCCCTATTTAGTATTACAGATAGGTGTGACTGATTTGACATTCTTCAGAACAGACGAAATACTTCACTTGATTCATATTATTAATTGATCAAAACTCAAACATACTAGGGAAAAGTAGAGCTGCAATATCTGTTACTATACCTTATCATCGGTGTATGTTCTTATATTCGTTATAACAAAGAAAGCAAACCTCAAGTCTTTTGTTTATTTGCTCAGCACTGTTTCTATTTCCACAGGTTTTTTTGGATTGAAACTTAGACTTATTTCATAGAAAGAGCAAAAAGATCCTTGTTTTGTCCACTAAACTATTTTGCCATGTCAATTTCACTCTTTGAAAGTTTAGAATACATATTTTAAAAGAATATGAATAGCAAAGACATTTAAACGAAGTTTATTCAATGTTTTTCATCATATGATGTTTTTGAAACTTTATACCACTATAAAACATACAAATATCTGTTAGAATTTGATCGATAATTTGTTTAATATGAATCGCACAATTTTCATCGACTGATTTTAATGTAATAGTTATACGTTTCCATATTGAATGAATTTGGTAATGTTTTGTATAGTCATGTGATGACGATTGTTTATTCAATTGTAATCGTTCTACTTTAATATAATCGTTGTATCCTGTGCGAGCAATTATTAAATCTTTGTAATCAAGACGTTCAATTAATTGAGAATGCAGTTTTATTATTAATCGTTCATAAAAATCGAGTGGTAACATTTGTTTGTTATCCCTCATAACTTGAAAAGATTGTACTATTGAATATGTCGGAAAATTAGTTACTTCAAGATCGTTTACTTGTGGTAAATCAGGCAAACGAAATTGATGGCCATTCGGATATTGTTCAGTTGATTTTGTTGTATAATCCACTGTATTTGAATTCAATTCACTTTGATCAATATGATTTTTCTGTTCCATGCCGGCTGTAAACCATAATTTCTGCTGTTTTAAACGTCGACTTTGGTCACATTTCAATTGTGCAAACAAACGTTGTTGTTCAAGTTTGTAGAAAAACGTTTCATCTAATGGTTGTTGACTAGGCAAAGATATATTAAGCCATGGACAAACAAAGTATGATAAAGTAAATTCATTAACTAAAATAGTATAAAATTTAGATGAAAAACCAATCAGTGTAGCTTTATGTTTCAAAATTCGTAGAAAAAGACAAGTATCGAAACAACTTAGAAAAAAAAATTAGTATTACCCACCGAAAAATTACATCATACAGAAGAACATCCAGACGTGTCTATTTTCATCTCGATAAAAAACCATGTCTAGACGTACTTTAGAGTTGGATGAGACGTAGTTTTATATTTAAAGATAAATGCATCCAGAGTTGTCTCGCGAACGAGTTTTTTCGAGAAAGCAAACATGTCTTCACACGTTTCAGAACTTTTACGTCAATCTGAACGAAAAATTTTAACCGTACACGCGCTTAGACGCAACACTTTTTCAAAAAAAAGAGGAGAATACGCGTCCAGACACGCTTCTCACGAAGATGCGTCTACTGTTTTGACCAAGTCTGGCCATTCTTTCAATTAGGAAAAATGCGTCTAGGTCCGTTTCAAAGTACCTTTTTTATAATTAACTAGTTTGGAACGCGTCTGTGCGTGATCTTAACACCCACACATAAAAAGACGTCCAGTCGCGCTCAGATATAAATGTGCCTAAAAGTGTCTCAAAAATAAAGATTTTTGAATTTTATATCTACTATCCGTCTTAATCTGGTTAGTTATAGACAATAGAAAGATCATTTCATATTAATTGTTTACAGAAAGGGTTGAGCGATCATTCGTAGTCTATATTTTGTAGACTGCACTTTCAGAGTCTTCTACGATTTTGGTAAGAGAAAAAATTTCTAAATTATACTTGAAGTTATATTGACAGTTACATTTGATAAGTGAATATTTTATTTATAGGAAATAGCTTTGCAAACACTCGATGGTAGAGAAAACGCATCCTTTGACGCATCTCGACCCCAATCTTCTTTTTTATAGAAGTTTCTTTGAGCTCCAGGCCTTTTCAATCGCATTTCAGAACGTAAAATTTCTTTCAAAAATATTTCTTCTTTACATGCGCCTAGACGCATTTATGATCAAACTTTCTTTTGTAAATGCGTTCTGATGTATTGTGCAACATTGACATTTTCTCTGATCGTGTTCAGATGCACTTAGAATGCCATACTTGATGAATATATCGGGTTCAGATGCATGTGAAATGACTGCTATCTCTCACGCTTTTAGGCTGTACTCAGATGACTTCTATTCACACCCAATACGAGCCAATATTGATAGTGTTCAGTATTAGTGCCCGAATATATGCATCGGTGAATTCGATGGAAAGAATTCAATTTGTGCGTCCGTGAATCAATTGTGCAAAAATTAGCTATTTATGATATTGAACGTCAAAACACAGACATTTTTTTCCGATATTCAACTCTGTTAGAATTGACCTGAAGTATTTTTGAGTTTTCGTGCAATTAATTGGACAAAAAGATGAAAATATAGGAAATAATTGTTTCCTCATCGTTTCGACATCTTCTTATGTAGTACATGTCGCGAATAATTATATAATTCGCCGAGCTATTTATGACAGAGGAGAATGTACTACGAGCAAACTATGAAGAGAGAATGACAGAATCTGCGAGAAACTGTTTTAGCACCAACACTGTCAGATGTGCGAGTTTTCCAAGGGGGAAAAAGCATACTTCTGTACTTCTGGTACTTCTCCGTACTTCTTGATACTTCTTCGTACTTCTTCGTACTTTTTTGTACTTCTCCGTA